TAACTAACCTAACTATAGAGATGACAAGCATAGGTGACTATAACTCTATAAGTCTTATCTACCAAAATAACCTAAGGATTAAGGCTTCGTGTAAACAAGGTAAACAGTCTATAAGCAAATGTATGGTAAAGAATGATGACTTCAAAGTTGTGACAATGAACAGGATATTTATAACAGAGGTAGGAATATATACTGCAACATGTAATATGACAATAATCTTAAATATATATCAATATACAGAATAGCCTAAACAGAAGTAGAACATACATAAAGTATGACAGATATAAATTTACATTTGCATCAATATACAAAGCTGGAATGGCTACCCACTACACACACACACACACACACACACACACACACACACACACACACACACAGACCCTATGACCTACTTCCTCTAGTGAGTCTATTCCTCCTAAATTTTCCACAACATCACAAAATAGCACCACCAGTTGAGGAACCAACATTTTAAAACATGATCCTGTATGGTTTATTTCACACCACAACTATATGGTAGTTCTAATTTTTTTTCTTAAGGAAACACAATTTTGTTTTCAGCAGTAACTGCACCATTCTGCCTCCTTACTAACAACACAGAGTCTGGACTTACTTTTTATTTGTTTGATGGCAACCATTGTAATAAGCATAAAGCATACATATATAAAAGCATAAAGCATATATATATATATATATATGTGTGTGTGTGTGTGTGTGTATGTATGTATGTATGTATATGTGTGTGTGCGTGCGTGTGTGTGTGTGTGTGTGTGTGTGTGTGTTGTGTGTGTGTGTGTGACCACAGTAACCAGTGGATCTGACAACAAACTAGAATCAAATTTAGACATGTCCAGCCTGTGGTCCATGGGCCACATGTGTCCCAGATGCTATGAATGTGACCCGGCACATTTGTAGATAACAATATTATATTGCCATGTGAAAAGGTTAGATGTGCAAGGCATTAGGGTTTTTGTTTTTATTTTTGTTTCCATTTTGTTGTTGTTGTTGTTGTTGTTGTTGTTTGAGTTATCATTCCTTAATGATAACTCCTTAAATTCCTTAATGATAATTCCTTAAATGAGATCCAAGTCAAAATAAATAAACCCCCATACATGGGTGAAGGGTATTTAAAAATGTCTATATTCTTAAAGCCTTTAAATTTGATCCTGGATTTATTCTAAATTCCTCTGTACCTCTGAAATGTCTTAGATAAGCCTGTCATCTGAGTTGCCTGAAAATTTTACTCTGGATATAGGAGAAAGTTAACATATTAGAGCCAAGACTTCTAACAATATTGTCTGATTTTACAAACACACAAAAAGTCTACATTATAAAGATTTAAATTAAAAAACTTTTAAGTAACGTAATCTGATATCTATTGAAAAGAGATATGTGCATTTCAACCAACAGATCCATGGTTCACATGCTCATCATTCAATAGCAAAGAGGACAAGAGTCTAGAAACAACCTACATCCTAAAAGCAGGGGATTGAATTGGTGCATATATGTAATAGAAAACTGTTTTGTTATTTTTAAAATAAAGTAACTCTTTTTGAAGATTTACTTATTTTTGTTTTATGTGTATGCATGCCTTTTCTGCATGCATGTGTGTGTATGTATGTCTGTGCACCACACGTGTGTCTGATGCCCACAGAACCACTCATTAGCTGTGGTGTTTCCAACACAGGACTTGTCTTCAGTATAAACCTACAGAACATGTCTACCACCAATAAGGTGGGAAATAACCCTTAGGATTGGGGCAGGCACATGAAAGTTCTCAATAAATGTTAGGAGCCAGGGACTCTATTACTTGTTTCAGCCTCTGCCCTTCAATAGCTCATGGTAAGACAGGCAAGATGGCAAACTTCTAAAATTCACAAGCAAAAAGGCTAATGGTTTTGTCTCCAGATGACTGTGGCTATTTCTGGCTCTCCCCATGTGGAATGGTCTGTAACAGCTTGAAGATCAACCAAGGGCTTGTGATAAGTAAGCCACTTTGATTATGGATATCACAAGCATGAAAAGAGAACACATTTGAGTGGGGGGGTAGTAATATTTTTCTTTAGACAGGAAAGCAAGCTCATGGTGTGTTAAAAGGGGAGAAATAAGCTTCAAAATCTACTTTACTTTGATTAATTAATATAACAAATGACATAAACTTGTCATTTGAAGAAAAGGTTGAGTTCTATAGGACTGGAATGAGCACATATAGAGGGCATTAATTCCCTGAGAAGAGCAATCAGAGATGGGTCTACAGACCACTTCTTATCCCCAGACTTTCTTGGCAAGTACTACATTGTATGTAAACATAGCAAAAACAGATATATATATCTAGAACCTAATTCCTTTCCATTTGGGCTATCAGTGTATTCAAAACAAGCTATTAATTACACTTTAATTAAATCAATTTAATCAAACTAAAAACAAATGTGTTGATCATTTGAATTTCCTTTTCTTTTCCATCATGGCTCAGAGCCTTTCTTATTGCTTGACTATCACACAAAATTATATGTTGATGTTCCCAATTCCTAGAAACTCAGAATGTATCCTTATATGGAAATAGGATCATTACAGTTTTAATGATCAGTTAATATGAGGTCATCCTGGAGAAGGCTGGGACCTAATCCTATATGCCTGATGCCCTCCTAAGTGCAGAGAAAGACACACAGAGGAGAGTTGCCATGCGATGGCAAAGACTAATTCAGAGCTGAGCAGCTAATAGAAACCAGGGAATGTTAGAGACTACCCTGGGAGAAAATGCTAGAGAAATTCACCAGGAGTGAGGAAACAGCAAGGAAAAATGGCAGGAGACTTGGTTCCTACTACTTCCAGTCCCCAGAACTCTGCATAAGTTCTTTCAAGCAACTGAGAGTGTTACCTACTTCAGCAGCCCTTGGAAACTAATTTACCTTGCATCTTTGTTATGATTATAATCCTTTGTCAGGTCAGCTGTGGTGGATTACTGCTTTGGGGTAGCTTTCTGTATGCTGTGAATATGTGTTGCTCTGATTGGTTAAAAAATAACACTGCATTGGCCTATGGTAGGGCAGGATAAAGATAGGCAGGCAGTACACTCAAACTGAAGATGAACCAAAGAAGGGTGGAGTCCAAGAGACATACCAGCCTGCCACTGAAGGAGCAACAAGATGCCAGCAGGCTGGTAACACCATAGCCACATGGCAACACATAGATTAATATAAATGGGTTGAGTTAAGTTGTAAGAGCTAGCTAGCAAGAAGTCTGACCCATAGGTCATATAATTTGCAATTAATATTAAGCCTCTGAGTGATTATTTCATAAATGGCTGTGGGACTGCGGGGCCAGGTGGGACTGGAGAAATTTATGGCTACAGATTACAGTGCACTTCAAATGATTAGCTACCTCCAAATGAAGCTTGATGTAAAATCTTTATCTTACAAATGTCATAAGGATATTAGTGAGCTTTATTCTTTTACCAAAAAAAAGAATCAAGATTCCTCATTCAAAGACTTTTGAGTTCTAGACTCAAAGTTTATGTTAGTTACGCCTTTGTTAGGGCTGCCACAATGAAGTACCATGGGCTACTTAGGTTTCTCACAGTACCAGAGGTCAGAAATCTGGCATGGACGCATAGACTGGATTGATTTCTTCTGAAGCCTCTCTCCCTTCAGCCTGTAGGCTGCTGTCTTCTCCTGTGTTCTCCCAACACCCCTTCCCGATTGCTGTCTTCTTCCAAATTTCCCCTTCTTATAAGGACACTATGATGTTGAATAATACCTTGGTGATAGCACTCCAGCTTAATTGCCTCCTTAAAACACAGGAGCGTTCTGGAGAACTGGGGAGTAAGAATTCAACATTTGAAACAGGAAGATGTCAAAGTGTATTACAGGTCTGTTAGCTTGAGAGTTCAAATGATGCAGCACCAATGCCACGGGAAGGATACCTGGCAACATCACAGCACAGTGGGGGGCACAATGGCAGTGGGACATGCGAGCCTTGATAGGGGCCAGAACAACTTTCTTTCCTGGAAAGTGATCCACTCCTCTGAAACCTAGATCACTTTTGGGGACTCTCATTAATCCCTTTTCAAGGGTTGTCACAACTCTGTCACAACCCAGAGAGACCACACCTCTTAACAGCTCTATCACCACTCTATGTCATTATATTATGGACCAAACCTATAACACATGAAACGTTCAACCCTATAGTACATGAATATTGGTGAAATTATTAAGGCCACTCCACGTAGTTAAAAGGAAGATTTATTTAGTGGGTGACTTACAAATGAAGGAATAGGTAGATTACAGGGGTCTGGGGAAGGTGCATCGCAGTCGAGCGGTGTTCTCTGGAACTCTGCTCAGTCGACCTCCACTGTCTAGGGTCCAGGAACAGAGAGAGCGCTCGCCCATCCAGGTCTCGGGTCTCCAGATGCCTCCCTTGGTCCCGCCTCGTAGGCGTGACAGTTGCCAGAGTCTCAATAGGGGTTGGAACTTCCAGATCCAAGCTGGAATGGCTACCCACTACACATGAATCTTCAAAGAACAAACCAAACCATAGAATAGGTTATTCAGTCCATAAGTAGTTTTTAGAAGATTTTGACCTCAATCTGCATCTAATGCCATGCTCTTTTTTATTCTTTGAAAAATTTCATACATGTATATAATATATTTCTATCTCCCCCACTTCTGCAGCTTCCCCTAGACCCTCCTCAACACATCTCTCTCCTAACTCCATGCCTTCTTTTTTAATAACCTACTGAGTCCAGCCAATGATTCTTACATGTACATAGGTGTGGGGTCATCCACTGGGCATGGAAAACCTACCAGAGGTCATATCTACAAAGAAAAAAATGACTCACCCCTTCCCCTAGCAGCCATTGACTAGAGCCCCTCAGTCAGAGGTCAGGCCTCAGGATCCCTTCCCCATCCATATTGGAGTTTTGACTAGCTTTATCTTGGACAAGTCTAATGCAGGTAAACCACAGTCACTGTGAGTTCATGAGTGCAATGGCTATGCCATGTCCAGAAGAAGACAGCATTTTACAGAATTCCTCCCAATCCTCCATCTCTTACACTTTCTCCATTCCCTTCTTCTAAGATGTTCATCAAGGTACAGGGGCAGGGGGAGGCTGATGTAGATGTCAGCTGTGAGTTTCTGCATTAGCCATTCACTGTTCACTGTGAAAAGAAGTTTCTCTGATCAAGGCTGATAACAGCACAGATCTATGTGTATAAATATAAACACTTAAAAAGCAATATGAATGACCGTTCAGAAGAAAAAATAAAGTATGTTCCTCCCTAGGGCCTCTGACTTTCTCACTCATAGTTCAAAGTACCAAGTGCCAACTTCCTATGAAGCAGATCTCAGTTACATTCAGAAGGTGGTTGGTTACTGACATAACAATTATGCCACTTTGTATCAGTGACTATATCTTGCCTAGTAAGTTGGTACTGTATCTTGCAGGGCCTAGCACTAGGTAAAACCACTGATGTATAATCTTCCCCACCCCCTAGAAGCCTGCATAGCTCCTTCTACACACCCTTCTGTGTAAACTAGCCTGAAAGGAGAAGTTTCCTGGTCAGTTTAAGAACGATTCCCTCTATGTCCTGTAACCAAAGTATGTGGTGTCTTCAACAATAATGTCTTACCATCCAGTGTGGTGGGAAATCAAAAACAATGGCAATACCCCATGTTTTCTTGAAGACACCCCTCACCAGTAACTCACAGGGAGGTATCCCATGCCTGGTACTGAGTTTTTCACTTACTAGCCATGGGAAGACTATATGCTTCAACAACCCAATTTCGATGGTGTCAGTGTAAGTCAAGGTAACGTACCTGTATAACAAGATTTTTAATAAAAGCATTGACAAAAGGCCAGTGCATTTCCTTTCTAACAGCCTTTGTAAACATTCTTCATTTGACACCTGCCCAACAAAAGCCTTTGACTTGTGTGACTTCATTATTCATCTTTTCTGGAATGATTAAACAGTCACAAAATTCATTCTAAGAATATTTAAATTTGCTCTTCTTCCTACTGTTCCATATAAACTATATGCCTTGCAAAAATGATCTCTTAGCTGTAAAATTTATTTGCCTCTCTTCCATATCTTTTCAATCTTTCTTTGCTGATGCAATGCATCCTTCCTTTCCCACTACCTTCAATATTACTTATGTTATAAGGCAACACCCAATAGAATGACCATGCCTATTGTGTAGTGGGTAGCTGTTCCAGCTTTGATCTGGAAGATCCCACCCCCACTGAGGCTTTGGTAACTGTCACACCTAAAAGGCAGAGCCAAGAAAGGAACCCTGAAGACCTGAGTTCCAGATGTGCCGGCTCTCTTGGTTCCTGGATCCTGGATGCTGGAGATAGACTGAGCAAAGTTCTCCAGAGAACACTGCTGGACTGTGCTTTACCTTTCCCAGACCCTGTAACCTATCCCTTCACTTGTAAGTTACCCCACAAAATAAACCTCCCTTTTAACTACGTGGAGTTGACTTAATATTTCAACCAATACTATTGCCCACACTAAAAGTAAAAAATTTCTTCACATATTAAGTCTGATTGTAAGAAAACACACTCCTAGAGAAAAATCAAGTAATTTAAATTTTAGTTCCACCAAAGCAGATTTTAGTCCCTGGAAAATATTTATTTTCATGTTTGTTGCACAATCTGTCAGTGAAGACCATTTCTTTTTTTAGCATTGTACTAAAAGAAAGATATCAATTGTTGAAGTATTCTCACAGGATTCATTCTTAACGTGTTGACTTAGGGTAAGGACATAATGGAATACAAACCTCTAATTGTCTAATACAATTTACTTTTGCCAAAGAAAGATGCACTAGTCCCATTCAGCATGAAAAGGGCCTCTGTATGTTTAAAATTAGCCAAGCAAAAATCCTCTTCAGTGAGGACCCTGTGTAAAGAAATTTACTAATTAGCAAACACTAATACAAAACTATTTTTAATATCAAAAGTGAATATTGGTAATCCTGTATCTATGTCCAGTTTCATATTACACTGTTACTTATATATTGTAATATGTAGCAAGCTGATTATGATGCAGGGAATTACTTCTGAATCTTTAACTTCTTGTCATCGTGTGGAAAGATAAAGAATGCCAGGTTAAAGAGTCAAAACCAATTCAATAGAGGATACTCCAAGTGAAAACCAGGTACTTATAGAAATTTGGACTGTCTTCTTAGGGTTGGAGCGAGAAGCAGCTAAGAAAACAGGTTCTTCTATAGTAGTTAGAACAACAGTGAAAAGATAGAGGGTGGAATCACAGCCAGATGTAGGGCCAGAGTTGAGCCCAGGCTCCTGAATCCAGTCCTGTGCTTACCACGTTATCTCCCCTTTATACCATCTGAGTAAGACAGAATGGAGTTTTGTTGTCTGATTTATATACTACAAAAAACAGAAAATGTATAAATTCTGTAAATATAATGCTAACGCATGTCTCTAACTATCAAGTAAAACTAAAAATGACAGTGAGGAAAGAGGATGGTAGAATTTTCAAAATACGTAGTCTTGTGTTAAGATCAAGCAAATTCTATCGTGAACATCTCCACTCTATTCTCAGTCTGCACTCAGGACTTCACTTTATGAGTCTTTGGAGCCTTATGTGCAAAGAGGGTGAGCTCCAAAATACCAATTAAATGTATACTCTACAAAAATTGAAATACAAGGTGAGGAATTGGTCAAGTCTTCAAAGTTACATTAGTTGGAGTAAAAATGTGGGTTTCCTCAATAAGTATTTGCTAAAAAGAGTATGTCAGGAGCCTGTTACATGCTTTTTAAAATGCTGGATGCAACTAGTGAACAAGATACAATCCAAGGAGCCCCAGTCTAACAAAGGTGGAAGATATGGGTCAAAACACTATATGGTATGAATGAAAATACTAATTAATATTAAAAGCATTGTAGAAACAGGAAAGCAACTAATTCTATGGACCTCAGAAACTCTAAGAAGTGATAAACAAGTAGCCTTACAAGAACAAATGAAATGTGTGAACAAAGATAAAGGATGATGTTCCCAGTGAAGAGAGAGTGGATTGGACAGAGATGCTCAAGTATGAAAGTCCAGATGTCCACAGGGAGGAGCCAGCCTCAGTGGAATCAAGGGTATGTAAGAAGACACATGACATGAGATTAGAGAGAGAGCCTCATGTGTGAAAAACATCACTAAAACCATGGGCAAAGCCCAGGAGACTTGATACATTAGCTACTATAGGAACATGAATGTACCCTGTGTAGTCATGTTGTTTTATGTTTCGTGTGTCCTTGTACTTACTTCTATGTCATTATAGTTTTATATTTGGTTACTATTTCAAAGTCTTGGGCTGTAGTATTTGTAATGAAGAAAGATTAAAGTGGGGTTGCTTTGAGGGCTTTAACCAAACTTCTAAAAACTAGTTTGATGATAGTGGGCATGGTTACAAGAAAAGAACCCCAAGACAGAGACAGAAAAACAAAGAAGCAGCTGCTTGCCTGGTTGCCTGTTCCAAGTAGCTTCCCAGTGGCAAATTCCTGAGAGGATTTGTTTTGTGGGTTTTTTTTATTTTGTTTTGTTTTGTTTTTCTGAGTGAGGCTGTTCCTGTTTTAACAGATGATGCTGTATGATTCAGCAATCACACATTTAATAAGAATTGAAGAAAAACAGCAAAACCTCTATATAATCCAAGAAATTATTGAGGAAATTACAAGGACAATGCATGTGAACTGACCATTTTAGATTCTTATAGATACTGCAGAGATATGGTTGAGTGTTTATCTGAAATATCTAGGTTTTCTTTCTTCATCTGCAGATGTCTGAACAATGTCTTTCTCAAATAACCATTCTATAAGATGTGATCGTCCTCAGTATCTTACTTACATGTTGTGAAGATCCAAGATTCCTTACCTGAATGTTCCTTCAGGTAAGGCCAGTAATTAGATAAAAGGTTTAGGATTTGCCTCACCCCATATCTTGAAAAACTCTGCATCCCTTTGTTTGGAGAAAGTTGAGTTCAGTCTTTCTGCCCCTATTGCAATGGTCTAAAAGCCTTTGATATTATATGCTGTGACAGTCACATGTCCCTGATCATCAGACAGGGTCTCAACTTAAATGATTCAACTTGGGATTTTTTTTTTCCCACTCTTACAATAGTCTGAAAGCATAATACTAAATGTTATGGGATAATCTTTTTGTAAACTGTGAAGATGTGTCTCTGCCACAGCACCTTCTGAATGGTATAATAAAGAGCTGAATGACCAATAGCTAGGTAGGAGAAGATAGGCAGGACTTCTGGGGGAAAAGAGGAAATGGCAGGGGTGGGCGGGAATCTAAGAGGAAAGGAATTTGCCAACGAGAGGCAGAGAGAGTTGGACATACAGTATGGAGGAGAGGCAGAAGGTAGATTAATATAAACAGGCTAATTTAAGCTTTAAAAAAAGAGCTAGTTGAGAACATACCTAACCTAAGGCCAAGTATTCATATCAACAAGAAGTCTCCATGTCATTATTTGGGAGCTGGCAGTCCAAAGAAAGACCTGTTACAACTAAAATTGCTTTTTACTTTCTGTTGAATATTTAACAAATTATATGACATATTCAACACTTCTTATAAAAAAAGAACATATGCTAGATGATCTTGCCAAACTATGAGCTAAGTCTTCTGGGCATGTTTCATACAAAACAGGCCAAGTGATGTTGGGTGTGTTTAGTATAATAAATGTAACTTCACTTTCATTGTTGCTACTGTTACCTTTTGAGACATGGGTCCCATGTAGTTCAGGCGAACCTATTATGTAGCCAAGAATAACTTTGAACTTTGATCCTCATGCTTGCACCTTGAGTGCTAAGATTATAGGCATAAGTTACCAGTCCCAGTTGAGAGAGTGCTGTAGACTGAACTCAGGGCCTCATGCATGTTAAACATGCTTTCTACCAAATGAACTACATCTTTAGCCACAAATGCAGTTCTAACGTATGATATTTTCAACTTACCATGGATTTGTTGGGGTATGACCATAGCGTAGGCACATCTACGGTTTTCCCAACTAGTGGCAGGTCTTTGTCTTCCTTTTGTAACATTTCATACTGAGAAATTAAACTTTCCTATTACGGTGTGCCACAGAACACCTGTACAAAGTTAAGTACATTGTTGGGATTAATTTTATGCATAGAAAAAAAGCATTGAGATGCAAAGCAGAATGCAAACTTAATGAGAAAATCAGGTCAAGATTCTCATTAAGCGATTGTAGAATATTATTAAATTCTTCAACCTCTGACTGTCAGATTAGAAACAGAGGAACCACGTGCTGCAGCTTGGAAAGCTGCCCAGTGCTGCTCCTCTTGTGGCTGGAAGAGCATCACTAGACTCCTTTAAAAGAATGTCAAGATCCCCAGAAGAGAGCACAGGCTGCTGGAGTCAGAACCACTTCAGATGGAATCTTTACTCCAACACCAATTGCCTCTGTGACTTTGGACAAATTGCTCAACCCAAAGGTTCGGCTTCCTCCCATTTACTATGGAAGACAGCACTACCCACTTGTCAGCCTGTTGTGAGTCCTGGGAGAGCTAATGTGTACCAAGTGCATGGCAGCTTTTACTGCTTCTCCAACAGTGCTATGGTAGGTCGCTCTCCTCACTGCTCACCACCTAAACTTACCACTGGAAAGGAGAGGTGAAGATAGAGTCAGCAAGAGCTCTTCCCTGAACATCTCCTGATGCCAAGCATGATGGGAGCCTCTAGCCAGCCTCCTGTTGGCACTTGAGGTTAAGCCTCACCTGGCAGCAGAGAGCCTGGTTGAGGCGCCTGCAGAACTGCCCCCAGGTAATTAACTGCCTCTCCTCTCTTCTCCAGGAAAGCCAGTGCCTCAACTGTCCAAACGTATGAGGACAATCCAGCCCAATCATTAACCACACAAACAGACGTGACCTACTGTCAAAGATACGAAGAGGAAAATTATGATTCTGACCCAGTTCTACAAAAACAAAAACAGGAAAAACAGAATCACGCAAAGAAGGAAAAATGACACAGTCAAAGAGAAACATTCTTCTACATCCTATTTTGAAAAACTGTACAAAATCGGTTCAAGCTTTTGGAAACCCCTGAAGAAGAGTGTGGTGACATTTGAACATCACAGAAGAACGACAAACAAACACTGAGGGGTAGAAACTACTGCTCAGCTCTGCCTCTCCTGTGAGTCTCACCTGGTCTTTAACATTGGGTGACAAATCCTCCCTCTATGAAAACTGATACCTTCCATGAAATCCCGTGAAGCTGGAGGTTCTGAGAGAAACTAGATTCATTATACCAACGTGAACCACACAGCATCTTATTCAATCGTTAATGGTGTTATTTTATTAAGTGAATTTTAGGGGTCTCTTCCCTGTTTGGCTAATTCTTATTTTTTGATGTGCTGTATCTTTCAGGTTGTCTTTTAAAATGTGTTTACAGAACTGCAGAAATTGGTCGTCTCCATGAATCAAATTGCAAGCTCAGCTTATAAATCATTTAGTTATGCCCTCTTTTTGTTTCCTGATTCTGAAGATGATGTGGAATTTCCATTTAACGGGCAGCACATAACTCCCTAGAGCAACTTCAATCTATTTTCTTAATCTTACAGCTTCTGATATCCACCCACATGATTTTGCCTTTTCTTTTGGCAACATGGATAATAGCACAACATTAACAAGGAGGGCAATATGTGTGCAGACCCTTTAGAGTAACAAAATATTTCTCATCTTTGCGTATGTTTCTTGGAAGCAGAAGTAATTTTTTCTTCGTTTCCATAGATACAGTAAGTGTGGTTATTAATCAGAATGATAGACCATAAATTACAAAACCAGTTAAATATCAACTGTCTTTATTTAATATTCCAAACATTGTCTTGTTTATAAATGGGTCCCTTCTTCATTGAACTGAGCATGGTTTTAATGACAGTTTAAGTCTAGATGCATTTCAGATGTGTGGTGAAAAAAAAATTACCTTATTCTGATTGACCATGGACAATCCATGATCAAAGAAAGATATGCCAGAGATAACATGAATACTGTGTCCCTGTTTCTGAGAATAAAGGGCTGAATTTTTATTATGATCACTTCACTTATATCTTCCCCAGGTTCCTTCTATAAAGTTGAGGAAATTTATTTCAGTTTTCCTGCCCCATAAACAACCTATCTTGTTTAGATAGAATATTATTTTTAAAAACTTCAGATTTAGGAGGGGTGGGAAAAAAAAACCTTCAAAACTAATGACAAATACTTCAAAGACAACTTGAAGGAGTTAAGGCAACCTAAGAGGGCAGGGGGAGTCACTAGGAGGCAGAAAGAGTGGCAGAAATCTATTTGTTAGATCCTCAAGCTGCAGCTTTGAAGTATTCTACTCCCATAACTGGTATCATCACTGTCTAGAAAGATTGATACCCTCTGCCCATGACCTTGGTCATGAATCATATTCCCTGCTGCAAGTCTTAAACTGCTTCTAAACCTACAGTTATTTACATTCATTGCCCTTTTCTTCCTGCTACTTTCCTCTGGTAACACCTTTGTATTAACTGTTACATTAAACGAGATGTTGTTTATACCCTAATTTTCATACTATCTACATTTTAGAACAGGCAACTCTTTGTTATAAAATGTGACCTCCACATTGCAGAGTGTTTATGTCCTACAAGGGGCCTGGCCCTCTAAATGCTGGTACACTATCCCCTCCCAGATGTTGTCAATAAAATATGACTCTAGACTTTGCCAAACATCTCTGACAGGCAAGATTAGTCACCTTAAGTTGAAAGTCACTGTCTGCACCTATTTATCCATTAAACCATTCAGTAAATGTTTATTACACATCAAGCAAAATGTTTATTACACAGTAGCAAAGAAAGATAAGGCTTACCCTCTCCCATACTATCCTACAGCCTAATTATTACATGTAATCTGTCCATTCTAATTTAGAATATAAAATATCACCATGGAGAGAAGAATAAAGCAAAACACTGCTAGAACATGATGAAAGGGCACCTGACCCATTTTGGAGGTGGGAACAGAGCCAAACTATTCACAGTGAAAGGGTTACTCACAGACACTGAAAGAGACTCAGTGAAAAAGGGGCAAGAGTGTTCCAGGCAAAGAGAACAAATGAACAAAAGCCTGTAGGTGAGAGTGCATGTCAGTGTCACTGGGGGCACTGAGAGCTGGTGGTGGGAGCCAAGCCACACAGTGTCTTGTGCTTCGAATTAAGTAGTTTTGCTTTGTACAGAGATAGCAATGAGCTATGGTCTCGGTGCTCCAGACAACGGCCCAGACTATGCCTCTTTACCCTGATTTTGTAAATTCAGGCAAATGTCCTTCTGACTAAAGTCAGTCCTTGGGCACTTCTATGGCCTCTCGGTTATTCTCCAAGATTCTTCCCAGGTTTTATTCCTTCTTTTAGAGAAACAGAATGTTTCCAAATCTAGCCATAACAGAGTGACATTGTGTCTACTATGAAAACCAAAACCACCCTAGGTGTTTAGGGTATTTTCATTTTATGTGGGAAACTCTAAATTGTAGCAGTATTCCATGCTATTGCTACCCAGTGGATCCAAAGTTTCTGTGTAGTAGTAAAATTAATGCCCAAAGCAATTCTTCAAGAAAACAGAACTAAGGAACTAAGAAAGGAACTTAGTTCCCCAAAGGAACTAAGAAAAAGAAAAAAAAAGCAAATGAATGTCCAATTTGGGCAAAGTCCACTTAAACTTTCATTTTCTACCCTTCTGTCTTATTAGATCTGCCTGATATTTTGTTGGGGACTTCTTTTTAAAAATCCATTACGTAAGCACCAGACTTGGCCCCTGTGTGAACTGTAAATATTAAGTATGACGTTTGTTTGATGTATCACACAACTGGAGACGAGAGCAAGACAGCTCGAGAGCAGAAACAACTCAATGTGACTTTGGACAACATCTGAGTCACAGAGAAGAAGCTCAAATGAATGCTCACCAGATTGAGAGAGGGGTTTTTTTGTGGTGTGTTTTTTTTTTAATGGAGCAGCAACTGTGTTTTAACAGAATGTGTTTTTCACAGAATCATTTTGGAATTTGAAGGATGAAATTTTGGTAGCACTGTTCTGCTATTGAATACCCTTATTCAGAGCAAAGCTGTGTAGAGTCTGTCTATTTGCAAGTAAATAAGCTTGAATTCATTTCCTCCTTATCATCTGTTCACTAGGGAATAACACAGGGGAAAGGGCTCCAAAGAAAAGAAAGCCAGGGATGAACGTCTCTCTCCCACTCCGCTGAGATTTGTCATTTCATCCCAGCTTTCTGAGCGGCTACATATGAAAGTTAAATTAAGAATATAAAACACAGTAGAAGAAGATTGGCATTTAATTCTTCATAACGATCTTGGTTACCATCTTATTGTTATGAAGAGAAACTATGGCCAAAGCAACTCTTACGAAAGGAAGCATTTAATTGAGGCCTTACTTGCAGTTTTAGAGGTTCAGTCCGTGATCATGATGGCAGGAAGCAGACAGGCATGGTGCTGGAGCAGCAGCTGAGAGCTTTACATCCCAATCCATGGGTGGCAGAGAGAGGGATACTGGGCCTGACCCACCCCCACACATATACCTACTCCAACAAGGCCACACTCCGAATTCTTCCCAAACAGTTCCAATACTAGGGACCAAGCAATCAAACATGTGAGCCTATGAGGTCATTCTCATTTCCACTACCGCAATAACAATACTTAAATTTTGAAAAAGATCCAACAGAAATTAGATACTAATTTTAAAAAGTAATATGTTATCACAATTATATTTTTTTCTTTACACATAGAAAGCTTGGGCCTGATTCTAACAAAGAAAAAAAATAAAATAAGGAAGGAAGGATAGAAGCAAGAACCAAAGAGAGTGAGACCTGCTGAATGCTGTGGTTCTCAGGCACTAATGAGCACCTAACTCCTCTGAGTTTTCAAATCCACAAATAGTGTTATACATGCAAAAATCTCTAGCCCAAAACAGCATAATCAAAAAAGATGGACAAATATGTTCTTAATAAATATAAAAGCATCCCTAAAGAAAGTTTCCATCATTAATTAGTGGGGAAATATAAAAATGGGGCTGTTTGATCATGGAATCACAAATAAATAAATAAAATTTCAAAAAGAAAAAAAATAGAAGCATTCATACAAGCTTCACCTGGAGTCAGGGAGGGGCTTTTTATCCAGTTTCACTTAGAATTCTATATCTGATGAAAAATGTTCCCCCTATCAGGGGATGCCCATGGGGGATCCAGAGTGGCTGTGATATGGAATGCCGTGTTTCTTGCCACAGTGGAAGTTGTGTATCCCCATTATGGATAAGAGAGGCAACAGAAGCTGGGGTGTCTGAAGGTAGAGCACCCATGGGGTGAGTCCTGGGTGACACCTTCCTCCATGTGGTCTGCAGTGCTGTACCTCCTTGTCATGGTGACAGTTTCATGGTTCATGACACATATGATAAGGAAATAGGGAGGATTACCTTTTCAGAGGAGGGGATGGGGGTGGCCTGGGGGGAAGGTTTGAGGGGAGTAGGAGGAGGAATGAGAGAGGGATCTGTGGTTGGTATGTAAACTGAATAAAAAATTTCTTTAAAAAAAAGTTATAACACTTGTTCAGGTGTTGTCACGGGAAGGGGGATGGAAAGAAGCTAACAGCTGAGTGAGGTGTGATATAGGTGTTTCCTCCAGGTTGGACATGGCCATTGCTGTCTCGCATCAGAACAGCTCTAGTCACTCACCCCAATGACACTCTCACAAAAAACGAGGCCATTGACATTCACTTTTATGGGGGAGGGCATGAGGCTCATGAGATTC